ATTCAGAAGCATTTCGCGAATATGCGATAACAACCGCAAAAATGTTTGTAGAGTTATACCCATGGTACTACATGCCTTCAAGCATCCACAAAATCCTAATACATGGAGCTGACATAATAAATAATGCAGTGCTTCCAATAGGAATGCTCTCAGAGGAAGCATTGGAGAGCAGAAATAAAGACTTTAAGAGATTTAGGCAATATAACACAAGAAAGATGTCGCGTACTAAGACCATGGAAGATTTATTTAATATTTTACTCTTGTCGTCTGATCCCTTAATATCATCAATTTCTAAAAACAAACCGAATATCTCTAAGAAAAAGGATACAATTAATAAAGAAGTGTTACAGCTACTGTCCGACCCAGAAGTAAATTTTGGGCAAAATTCTGATATCCTAGACCAAGTCGAAGGGTCTAGTTCCGATTCCAGTTTTAGCGACTAGAACAATATTCGTTTTAAATAATTTAGTTTTAAATATTAATTTGTTTGTCAGTGTGTTTTTTTTTCGAAGAAATTCATTTTATTTTGTTTCCTTGGCTTTCTTATGTAATAGAAATTTATTTGAATGTTTATTTATGTTATCATTTTTCTAAAGTTTTATTTATGGTATTTTTCAAGTGTCGAATAAAAAAATTAAGTTAAATAATAAAATATTAGTTTTACGAACGTAATGTTTCTGGTTTTTTATTTGAATCAATGACTACCGTTCAAAAAAAAAAATGTTATAAACAAATAAATTAAATGGAAAAATGATTATTTACTTAACCACAAATATATATATATATATATATATATATATATATAAACAATGGGAGTTTCTTGGGGTATCGGTCGTCTTGAAGGGCTAGGAAATAAAAATCTCTTTTTCCACTAAGCCGAGCTTTCGGCAATTATTTATTGCCTTCGTCAGGGCTACAACAATATAAAAGATCTTATTATTATTCATAATAATTATTATTCATAATAATAAGATCTTTTATATTGTTGTAGCCCTGACGAAGGCAATAAATAATTGCCGAAAGCTCGGCTTAGTGGAAAAAGAGATTTTTATTTCCTAGCCCTTCAAGACGACCGATACCCCAAGAAACTCCCATTGTTTATAAATTCTCCGGTCAAGATACTCTGTAAATATATATATATATATATATATATATATATATATATATATATATATATATATATATATATTTATGATATCAGAGAACAAATTTAAAAAAATAATAATAAAACAATTAATTATTCTATCTATTATTTTATATCAGCTAGATTAACGAAAAATCACACTGTGCGTGGGCCGAAAGTGAATGAAATTATTAAAATTTATTGTATTTTTCTAGGTTTCATTCAAATAAAAATTACAAAATTCGAATGATTGTAAATAAAATAGTATACATACCTTGGTTAAAAGTTTCAATGCTGTCTCGAGATTTTAGTTAGACCTCGGCTGCGCCTCGGTCTAACTTAAATCTCTCGACAGTAATGAAACAGTTTCCACCTCGGTATGTAATATACTATTTTGGAATAAAATGCGATACGTCATAAGTTTTGGGACATCAGAAGCTTTTAAAATCTGAAATAGAAAATCAAGGGCCACAATTTGAAAAAATGAAGTTGATGGGATGGCGGCCCAAAGACGAAACGTCAGATTTTAAATTTGATCCTAGCATCTTGTAGAGGAGAAAAAATGGTAATGATGAAGTCACATTTATTTTGCTTAAGAAGAGAAATTAAGAAAAAATTGGTATAGTGCAGTGGCGTATCCAGCCTGGGGCTCTGGGGGGGCACACCTGATGTCCGCCGGAGGCAGATTTTTTTTTGAGGTGCCATGCCCAAAAGTTGTTAAAATCACACACACACACCCATCCTAATGGCATATTTGCAAGTGCGCAAAAATAAGCTTTTGAGTGCGGGAAAGACACTTTGCACAAGTGTTAAAAACAATACTTTTTCTACGAGTGTTTGAAGATTTGCATAGCATCCAAAGCAGCTGTACCTTCCTAATCTTTTTGAATGTTTCCAGATGCTAAAAACTGGTAATTTTCGCTCTAAGTTCAAGTTCAATGTGTCTTTTTTTCCAGTGATCACCTTGACTTTATTTGCAACAGTGGTTGTGCTAGCGAGGTTTACTTAGAATTTGTTTTTCCAGCAAATTTTGAGACTAAACTTACCAAGATGATTATTTTTTGAATTAGTTTTACATAGGGAGTACAGCATCTTCCCAAAATATCCTGTCCATTTTTGCTTGTTTTATCATAGATCTTGCTTTATCCATTGGTGTCTGATTCATTTTTTCTGCGACACCATTGAGTTGGGAAGTATATGGAGGAGTATGACTTACTGTCCAACTTTCATGATCTGATACTCCAAAGGAATGTTATTATACTCAGGATTTACACACGTCAAAAATGCAATAAAAAATAGTGAAATAACTAACTAACCTTTCTTAATTTGAAAAAAAAAAACAATTTAAAAAACAAATAAGTCAGGAATGTGCGTTGGTGGCTGCCCACGCCAATGGTCACCTGACCTCACACCCACACCTGTCTTTGCTGAATTTTTCCTCGTCTCGCTCCTCGTACGGAAAGTGTGAAATTAAAATTGCTAAACATTATCTGAAAGCCTTTCTTGGAACAGAAATAACATCAAGCCCTTCTTTTCGAATGCTTGTATTTTCATGGTAGGTATAGTGAAATTATTTAAATAGTGTATGCGCATATTTTCATAAAAACCCTTTTTTTCATGGATCGCAATAATTAGTTTTATCACTTTAAAGACCTTAAACCACCCTCAAAGAATTTGCAAGTCAAGCGTGGTTCCCTAAACGGTGTATATTGGTACTGTCTATAACTTCCAGTACCATTTGTACCTGAGACTAGGGTGAAAATGTCCATATTTTCACAAAAACCCTTTTTTCGATAAATCGCAATTATAAGTTTTACCCCCTTAAACCACCCTCAAAGTTATTTGCAAGTCTTTAGGCACCCTGAACGGTGTATATTGGTACTGCCTATAACTCGAGTATTACTTGTGCCTGAGACTAGGGTGGAAATGTCCGCGTTCACCAGATACAAACGTTGGTAAACGGTTTGCGATTGTTCTGCTGAACGTTACGTTGAATTTGTGTTAAAACCAAACATGTTTTGCAAACGGTCGCCATTTTTGCTAGCATAATTTCAGAATGTTTATAATTTTCAACAATGTGTTTTGTGTGGTGACCTGTCATTCAGAAGGTGACGTTCTATCATTGAAAAGTTGAATCGTTCAGCAGAACCAAGAGTTTACCCAACATATTCTGTTGGTATTTGTGAACTGTTTACAATCCGTTTTGGTTCTGGTGAACGTAGCCCATATGTTCACAAAAACCCTTTTTTCGGTGAATCGCAATTATTAGTTTTAACCCCTTAAACCACCCTTAAAGTTATTTGCAAGTTTTTTTAGGTACCCTAAACGGTGTAAAATTTTCTAGCTAAAATTTTAATAAGAAAACATATTTTCCTACGAGCGTGCGCAAAGTAGTACTTTTCCGCACGCATTTCGGTTCTCAAAGTTACACTTTTCCGCACTCAGTGCGGATACAGGCCTTATCCGCACTGAGTGCCGAAAAGTAAAAATAATTGTCAAGCAACAATAAGGGCACCTGTCGACGTTGACAAATGATGACAAATTTTTCCTCTGTTTCTATATCAGCCAACATCTATACAAACACCAAATTTAATTAACTTTGACACATTGTCAGATTTGTTCTCTATTGATATGCAAGAATCTACAAACTTTCTCATCAAATTTAAACGTTTTAAAAAAAGGGCTCTGACGATGATTTTCTGTTATTTTTTTTTTGTTATGTAATTTTTTGATAACTGCATAGGTTCGCTTCAAGTTAATTAAAAATAGTTGGATAAATAATTTTTTTTTCTAAATTTTTGTTGTTACCTACCTGATATGAAGCTCGTAGGAAAAATTTAGTTCCTAACACGTGCGCAAAGTGTCTTTTCCGCACGCAAACACTTATCCAAACTCCGCTTCGCGTCGTTCGTATAACTGTGTTTGCGTGCGGAAAAGTAACACTTTGCGCACTTGTTAGGAAAATAACTATTTTCTACAAGCGTGCGGAAAAGTGCACTTTTCCGCACTAGTGCGGAAGAGTAAAAGGTGCGGAAAAGTTTTAAAAAAATTATCTTAAATTGGTAAATATGTATAGGTACAAATATTAACTTTTATCTCGTAGAAAAAATAGTGTTCCTTACTCGGGCGAAAAGTCTCTTTTCCTCACTTGATTGCTTGCCGAACTCCACTAAGTGCGTGCGGAAAATTGGCACTTTCCGCACTAGTTAGGAAATATACTATTCTATTCTCGGCGCTCCTAATGTCAAAAATTGCATCAGAAAAGTGTGAAACTTTGATTTTTTACTATTCAGAGTTAAACTAGAGCTGTTCAAAAAGCTCATATTTACTTGGAAAAATATCATTTTCGAATCTACTAGTTGAAATTATTACGAAAATTATATGATTGATTCCCAAGGAAACGAGGATTATGATATAAAAATTGCAGAAATGCAAATGCAACAAACTGATCTGAAAATTTCAATGTCAAAATCAATACCATTCTAGTTATTGCAGGCTTATGGAACAAAAAAACTTGAAAGTATCGCGCGAAGGGAAATCGCCATAACGTGTTATATGGTTTAGATTTCCTTAGAACATGTAGTAAAGTCTAAGATTTTGACCCACAATGTTCATATTTTTGTATAGAAACCAATACATGAAGCATAGAAAATACGGTTGCAATCTTCACAAATCACCTTTTACCGTCATCCGTTGACTTAAAACACTCTTTAAAATCGAAAATGGAAAGGTATGCAAGATTTTTTTGTAAAGAAATAAATACATTGTTGGAAAAACAATTAAAACTCCATTTGAGTACCCATCAATCATATTTATTATGCCATAAATGTGCACACTTCTTAGGCGCTAATACGATATTTGCTAATACTTTATAAGCGTTTCCTAAAGCGTGTCAATGTCCGTGCTATTGAAATTGAATTTGATTCAATTAGGTGGTTAAGTTGCGAAACGGTCTTTTTGTACACAGAAATGCAATTGGAAAAACCTCAAATTATCTTGAAAAAAAAAATAAATCGTATACAAACAATAATATTTAAAAAATAATAATTAAAAAACACATTTATGAAATAAATACACAATTTAAATCAATAGATTATCATTTTATGCAAAGGTGTAAGTACCTATTGGTATTTTTTTTTTGAACACCCTATAGAAGTACATAGATAGTTGCATTTTGTCATTAAATAGTACCGTCTATTTGCAAACGGCAAGAAGTGCAAATATTCAGTTTGAAATGCGCCCAAAATGCCGAAGGTCCGGTTTTATGCAATTTTACTTTTGTGTTCCTCTAGTGTGATTCAGTGCAAGTTTCAAGATAACATTTGCATAAGTAAGTGAAGGACAATAAATATTATTATCGTAAAGTGAATGTTATTGTCCTTGTGCGGGAGGAAAAAGTGAAATAGAATGTTCAACCTACATAGATTGAATTGGTGTTATATGATGCCCTTACTCAACATTTTTTAGGTCCGTTAGACAACAAATTCAAAAATAGTACGCTAGTAAAAGTACCTCTACAGCCAATTAAATTAATTGGTAAAACTATTTTTGATTTATGGAGAAGCTTTCCTGTTGATATTTTTTCAAATGTAACAACTATTTCTCAAAAATGCCAAAAAGCTTATCAGATGCACCTTGAGGGTGCCCAAAAGAATGATTTGAATTCATTAAAAAGTAAGATTTAATTATTTAAATTATCGAATATCGTTGAGAAAATTAAGGAAAACTGCTATCAGGGATGGCAAATACTAGTCTGAGGCTAAAATCTACTTATCCAGATTTTTAGAAACAAATTTTAACTTTAAGCGATACAAAATAGTTGAAATTATGTCTTCGTGAAACTTATGAAATCTTTTATCAAAACATGAGTGATTTCGTCTGGACAAATCCAATCTTTGATATTCGATAATTTTGCCTCATCCAAAACAAAACAAAATTGTTTGTTCTTTTAGTTTTTGATGCTACTGCAAAACCTGGTTCAGGTTTGCTCAGTGGCAATATCAATCAATACGGACACTTTGACGAATGTATGGAAGTGCCTGATGCCCAGTACTGTTTGGCTTTGTTAGATTTCAACCCTATTTGGACTGAACCTTTGTCCAAATATAAAAATTTGGTTCACGCTCATTTCAATATCAAGGAAACATTTGCAGATGTACGAAAACACTTTTCAAATAAATAAAAAATAATTTTGTAAGATTTTAGCCGGCTCATAGAGTACCAGGCTCGACGTTTGTCAGATGGGGCTTTTGCTTGCCGGAAATTTGTACAGAGGCAGACCTCATAAATGCTTTAGATTTCAAATTAGGCATTAGGGCTAAAGTAAAACCCAATATGTGTCAACCAACAAAATTGTCCAACAAAATATTGTCTTTTGGAGATTATCTGGCAAGAGCCTATTTCGTTTTTATCGCACTTATGGTTGCAGTTTCAACTTTGAACTATGGAAAATATAAAAATGGTAAGTTTCCAATTTCAAATAAATAAGTGTTCTTGGACAATAATTTCCAGATACTCTTTGGAAAAATTTTGTGTCATGTTTCGCCATTCAAAAAACTTATAAAAAGCTGACAACACTGACAAAAAATAAAAACGAATATGAATCTTTGCATGGAGTTAGATGCCTATCGGCAATTTCCCTATTAATGGCCCATAAAACTATGGCATCCTTGTTCAATCCTTATATTAACAAAACTTGGATGGCAGAGGTATAGTAATTTTTTAATATAAAATATTTTCTAAACAAATATTTTCTAGACTCAAGCAATGAAATGGTCCATTCTTGGAAGAAACGCCATTATTTATACAGATTGTTTTTTGCTTATAAGTGGCCTCCTGAATGCCAATGCTATTTTGGCCGACTTGGAAAAATTTGGAACAATTAATTTTAGGGAAAAAGTTATAAACAGACTATTCAGGTATGTGATATTTTAATTCCCAAAAAAAACAAAAAATACATTTTACATCAACTAAATCTATACATTAAATACTAGAAATAATCATTCATATTATTATGAAACTGCTTAAATACTTACTATAAAAATAATCATTACTCCATCCAAACATTTTACTCACTTTCTGAAGCACTTCCTGATCCTGAACCGGAACCAGACCTAGAACTACCCGACTTTGACCTGGACCTAGATCTACCTGACTTTGACCTGGACCTAGATCTACCAGACTTTGACCTGGATCTAGATCTAGAAGCGGACTTAGACCGCGACCTTGATCTAGATGCGGACTTGGACCGCGACCTTGATCTAGATGGTGATTTCGAAGCTGATCGAGATCTGGAAGGTGACTTGCTCGGGGATCTGCTTTTTGATGCAGAAGCTGATCTGGATCTTGAAGGAGACTTGGATTTTGATCTTGAAACTGAGCGTGATCTTGATTTGGATGAGGACCTTGAGCCCGATTTAGATCTGGAAGCGGATTTGGATTTTCTGGAAGTGCGTGAAGAGGCACGCGATTGTCTAGATGTTCTGCCGCCTTTGCTTTCATTGTCACTGTCTTGAGGTTTATCTTCAATGTCAACATTGTCTTTTTCTTGGTCAGATTCTCCTTGGCTATCATTGGCTGCCACTTCATCTTCCTGAGTTTCATCCATTTCAAATTCTTCTTCATCATCTTCACCTGATGACATAAGTAAGATAAATAAATTAATTTATATAATAAAAAATTATAATTACTTACGTGGAGGTTCCAATTGTTTTTCCCTGTATCTTTGTATTTTAAATTCGCCAGCATTCATAACTCTATGTTTAACAACCAATCTAGTGTTGCTAGGGGCTTGACCTACTTTTTGACGCCTTTTGCTCAATCTTACCCTTGTTTCCAGTTCATTATAATAAACACCATCAGGGCGAATAACAAAGAAGTAATTTTCTTCGTAGCCTATCAAAAAAATATTAATTTTACACATAAAATATAGCAATTTTCTCTCGAATTTTCTTATAGACTTTACCTTTGCTTGCCTTGCTCTTGACATTCCAGTTATATTCACGTGCCATTTTGTACTCGTACTCCTCGTCTTCTTGGTAAGCGACACCATTAGCAAAATCTTCTCTACGTTTTTTCAATGTTTCTTCAATGGGAAGGAAGTAGGCAACAAATTGCTCACCACTTTCGTCCATCACACCACTAAAATTATTTACTGTTATAAATCAATTGGAAAGTTACAGTAGCAATGGGAAAGGAGACGAGACAATAAGTACTCACAACTACTAGAGTGAATATAAGCAGTGGCAGATCCAGGATTTTCTTCAGGGGTTGAGAATTATCAACAATGAGTTTTTAAAAAATCATAAAAAAATTTCTATTATACATTTGTACTTATAGTTCTAGAAATAAAATAGTGTTAACCAATTTGGGGTAAATTTATGACTTTTTTAATTTTTTGAGTGCCTTTTTTCATAGAATCTGGCTCCAAATCTGCAAATAATTCAGTGTATGGAGTTTGGGGGGTCTCGAATGATCATTTAAACACAAAATTTCAACAAAAAAAAAGTAGAGATAGAAAGCTAAAACTTTTAGTGATTCTTATCCCAGTAGAAGACTACAATCCGTGAAAATTTTAACTCACTTGGACTCATAGTTTCAGAAATAAAATCGCGTTAAGCATTTTGGGGTTAATTTATCAATAATTCAATTTTTCTGAGTGCCTTTTTTTATAGATTCCGGCCTAAGTAAGTACTTTATGATTTGGATTTTCAAAAACTTTGAAGACGGATTACTTTTTTTCTATTATAGATAGAAAACTGAAATTTTCAGCGATTTTTATCCCAGTAGAGGACTACGATCCCTGGAAATTTCAGCTCATTAGGATTCATAGCTCCAGAAATAAAATCGCGTTAAGCAATTTGGGGTACATTTATCAATTTTTCAATTTTCTGAGTGCCTTTTTTCATAGATTTCGGCTTCAAATCTCAGAATAATTTCGTGTATGGAGTTTGGGGGGTCCCGAATGATCTTTTTTTTTACCATAAAAAAAAAAGAACTTTCATCATTTTAGTTCTAAGGTTAAGCTACCTTATGATTTAGATTTTTGTAAACTTTAGAAAATCATAACTTTTTTTCTATTAGAGATAGAAAGCTGAAATTTTCAGCGATCCTCATCCCAATACAAGACTACAATCCCTGAAAATTTCAGCTCATTAGGACTCATAGCTCCAGAAATAAAATCGCGTTAAGCAATTTAGGGTAAATTTATCAATAATTCAATTTTTCTGAGTGTCTTATTTCATAGAATCCGGCTCCAAATCTAAGGATAGTTTAGTATATGAAGTACGGGGGGTCTCAAATGATCATTCAAAGACAAAATCTCCACATAAAAAAATTTGAAATTTCATCATTTTAATCAGGGGGCCAATCACTTACCATAATTTGTACACTGATTACTCTTATATTGGTAATACTTGTAAATATTTCTGGTATTACATCTAATATTAACAATTTTCTGTACTTGAGTTGAGAGTAGAAATATACAGCTGTGATGTTTTGTTATGTTCTTGTTAATATCAACGTTAATATCTAGTATCAAGTATACCTAATAACATTAATAACCGAGATCTTATCAACTACATATAAGTTTTAGAGAATACCTGAGGTACAAATAAGGTTTTTACAAAGATGTTCATTGTTATAAACATGTCTTTCTCATTAAGCAAAATGTTAGCTATTTGTGATGAAATCTTAGATGAAATAATAATGGGGAATGATTAGGACATTTTTACTGTTCTTTGAGAAAGTTGTTGAGCTCATCTTAGGATTTGTTGATATTTTTTCCTTTAAGGTCTAGGTTTGCAGTTTGTAGAGACTTTGCTTGTCTAGGGTTTTTACAGAGTTATCAATAAATAGATAATTTCTTTGGTAAAACTTATGATTACCTTGATATTGATATTTACTCATATTTTCAAAGTATTACAAGCCAGGGTTAGCAAAAATCCAGCTATTTGTATTATAGTGGAGTGGATAGAGATGTTTTCGGTAGATATTTTGTTCTTGATACATATCTATTTTTATGTATAAAAAACCTATTATTTTCAAACAGATGAGATAACTACAGAGCAAGCTACAGAGGTATCCAAGAGTGCTTAAGAGCATTTTGGAAGAATTCTAATAACTTCACCCTCATCCCCCTTCAAATTATAGTTGATGTGTTACAGGAATTCTTTCGAAAATTTTCAACTCCGCCATAATAGGGTTGGTAAGTTTTAAAATAAACACCCTGTAGGACTCAAATAGACATAATTTGTCCTGTGAATCACTGTGATCGTAATATATTGAATATTTCATGCGGTCTGTCTTCATAGGTTGCAGGTACATGAATATTAATATTACCACAGTATTACCTAACAGAGAAGAACAATCAAATATTAAATTATCTACAATTTTGCTCGCAATTTTGTATAAAAATGTGCTAAGATTTCTCCTGCAGATTTCTAATTAAAGAAGGTATAAAAATACAGATAATTCATCAAAATTAATATTTTCAACAGGAATTCTTATATAACCCTTCCAGCATATTTATATGAACTTGATAGTTTGGGGACCAGGCAAGACAAGCATTGTTGTCTCGTTGTTGAAATATGAAGTCTTTCAACATGCAGATTACAAAATCGACGAGTTTCAAGACTCTATTGCAATAATATTTTCAATACAGAAATTAAGAGATAGATCCTGTAAGTTGCTTAGGAGTAACTTTAACTTTACAGGAAAAGCATTACTATAAAAAGAATCAAGGATATAAAGACTCATTTTACCATCTTACTTGTGTGACAATAATTTTAACAATAATTTTAAAAAGCAATAAGTATACACAAACTAATAAGAAATATGATTTTTTTTCTGAAAGAAATAAGATCAGAAGAATATAGTTTTGAGAAAGAATCTTTTTGAAATTGACTTGAAAGACTCCAAAATTTACATTTTCTAGTTTTGAGAACAAATCGTTGTCAAAACTAAACTCGAACATTCTAAATGTTTTCCAGGTTTAGATTATGAGCTTGAAACAAGAATTGACTTAAAAGGCTCAGAACATCCACACTTTGTAGTTCTGGTAGAGAATCTTGTTGAAATTGAATTGAAAGACTCTGATATTCACATTTTGTAGTTGTGAGAACAAATCGTTCTTGAAACTAAACGCAGACATTCTAATGATTTCCAGGTTCTGATTATCAGCTTGAAACTGGAATAATAATTGACTTAAAAGTCTCAGAACATGCACACTTTCTAGTTCTAAGAAAGAATCTTGTTGAAATTGACTTGAAAGACTCTGAAATTTACACTTTCTAGTTCTGAGAAGAAATCATTGTTGAAACTAAACTCAGACATTCTAAATGATTTCCAGCAAAATTTTCAGGTTCAGATTATGAGCTGGAAATTGGAACAAAAATTGACTTGAAAGTCTCAGAACATCCACATTTTCTGTTTCTGAGAAAGAATCTTGTTGAAATTCACTTGAAAGACTGAAATTTACTTTTTCTAGTTCTGAGAACAAATCGTTGAAACTAAACCCAGACAGTCTGACAGTCTTAATGATTTCCAGATTTTGATTATGAGCTTGAAATTTGAACAAAATTGATTTGATAGTCTCAGAATATCCAAACTTTCTATTTCTGAGAAAGAATCTTGTTGAAATTGAATTGAAAGACTCTGATATTCACATTTTTTAGTTCTGAGAGCAAATCGTTGTTGAAACTAAACTCAGACATTTGAAGTAAATAATTTTCAGGTTTTGATTATGAGCTGGAAATTGGAACAAAATTAACTTGAAAGTCTCACAACATCCACACTTTCTAGTTCTGAGAAAAAAATTTATTGACATTAATTAAAGACTCATATTTACATTTTCTAGTTCTGAGAACAAATCATTGTTGAAACTATACTCAGACCGAGACTCAGGAATTCTAAATAATTTCCAGGTTCTGATTATGAGCCTGAAATTGGAACAAAAATTGACTTAAAAGTCTCAGAACATCCACACTTTATAATTTTGAGAAAGAATCTTGTTGAAATTGACTTGAAAGACCCCGAAATTTACATTTTCTAGTTCTAAGAACATATTATCACTGTTGAAACTGAACTCAAACATTCTAAACGATTTCCAGGTTTTGATTATGAGCTTGAAGTTTGAACAAAATTGACTTGAACATCTCAGAACATCCACACCTCGAACCACACTTTGTGTGAGAAAGAATTTTGTTGAAATTAACTTCAAAGACTCTGAAATTAAGATTTTCTGAGCAAGAAATACTTGATATTAACAAAATATTAATAGTATTACCATACTTATATTTTCAAGTATTACCAACATATTAGGGCCAATTCGTACACCGATTACCTTGAGTAGTTCACCCCCTGATTTTAGTATTGAGCGAGATACTGAGGTTCTAACTTAGCTACTTTATGATTTGGATTTAGTTCCAGAAATAAAATTGTGTTAAGCAATTAGGAGTGGATTTGTCAATTTTTCAATTTTTTGACATCCTTTTTTTACTATTAAGGTTTAAAGTCAACCTCTATTTTCTGAACCTTGTGTTCAAAAATTCCTAATAATACTTTAATCCATATGTTTTTTAAGCAAATTTGACTCGCCAGTTATATCGCAAAAACTGAAAAAAAAAAAGTTTTTCACCATTTATTTCAAAACGAATAGATGAAGTCTCCCATTATTTTTCTTACGAACTACTATTGCAATTCTACGCGACATATATTTTTTCCAAATTTTTTGAACTTGTAGTTTTCTCGCTACTGCAAAAATAGTTGGAAATATGCCTGTAGCTACACTGTTTAGATAAAAATCTGACGGATGAACGTTCAAAATTATTTGCGTTGGTCGAAACTACAACCCTGTTTATGTAAAACAGAATAATACTTCGAATTTCCGCCAAAAAAAGAAAAAACATTCCATCACATAATTTAACCAAATGACGATTTGTATTTTTTTTGACAGTCAAGTTAGGGCGCACTATAGGGGCGACAGCATTGACATCTCGCGTTGCTGTAATAAACTTTAGGCCTGACTTTAAACCTTAAGTATACTTAGATAGAATTGGAATTTGAATCCTATTATATCTTATGAAATTTTATTGAAAAATTTGAATGAAAATTCTTCTATAAAATATTTCTGTAGGTATACACCTATAATTATTTCAAATATATATTTTTTCTTTATGTTTCAAGTAGTTTTTGAGGGTCTCGGGGCGTGCCTTCCTATGTTTCCTCCTGTATCTGCTACTGAGTTCAATAGGCTTTCCAAAATACCTAGGTGTTATTGAAAAAGTGTTAAGAAGAATCACCTTTTTTATGAAAAGTCCCCAAAATCAATAAAAATCAAGTTGGCAATTAGGTAACCCTTCTTCAATTGGTAGAGAACATAGGTCTTAGAAAAGAATAATGATGCTATAATCAGGAAGTTTTGGGCCCCAAACCGTTTTATTTCTAATAAGGACAATAATTAATCAATTTCCCAACATATGATTCTGCCAATTTTACTTTTCCTACTTTATGCCTGTTAATTTTATTTGCAATCACTTACCGAATCATTGCTTGAGACATTTCTTCAATCTGAGCTGGAACACCTTTACCAACCGGAGCAGGATCTGAATCAAATATAACTTGAGCGCAAGGATATTTCCACAAATTGAAATCAGGATAAACTGGAAACACTTCAACTGGTACAACGTTGGGTTTACTATAGTGCTTTTCAATAGGTATTTTGGAGTCTGCATAGGTTTTTTCAATAGCCTCAATTTGCGCATTTCTATCCATATAATGTGTTTCATTGTTGAGAGATTTTTTAATGCTAAAACCAACTTTGGCTTCCACTTTGTCCATTGTTTGTGGCTGAAATCTGGTTTGTTCAGTGGAGATGTACTCAGTTCTTCTAAGCCAGGAGACTGCTTTAGCATGGTGCCGGGATCTTTTTGAATCTTGTGGCGCAAGAATATCTTCCTCGAGAAGTTTCTCATCAGCTGGGTCCAAAACAACACCCGGTTCAGTAGGATAAGTGTCCTTGTTTATTAGGTCTATATTTACGCCCAAATCATGCTCTGTAAGGACATCGTATCTATAGTTTCTTTCCAAAGAGGTTGGATTGTATTGGATAAATCTTGACGGCTCAAAGGGGTAGGAAATGAATTTTAGATCAAATGGTAAGTCTGGTAAGGTGTTGCTGTACTTTACACGGACTATTAGTTCTTGCCTGCAAGGATAATATTGTGTTGTTGCTGAAATTAGAGTGAAAATATGTTTTGCTTACTTTTTTTCTGGAGGTTTTGATGGTCTGTCCTGTCGTTTTTCGGCAGGAGCTCCGTTTTGTATCGTCATTTTGGGAGTCTATATACCAACTGAATAGACTTAATACTCTGTTTATAATTAGATATTTATCAATTTTCACCACAATAAATTACACACACATTGAAATTTGATAAATCTCAGCAGGAAGATTATAAAATGAAAATACAAGCCTAGGCAAGTGTCATTCAAAAATGAGGTTAGGTTGTACAAACTTCAAATCCGACAAGCGTTTTCAAAATGTAGGTCTTTTCTTTTTTTTTTTCGAATTCTGTGGGTGAAAAATCATCGTTTTTTTTTTTAAATTTTTTCAAAAAACGATTTATTTTCTCATATATTTGCAAATTAAGGTCCGGTTTTTTCATCTTCAGATAAACTTCCTGGTAACTAACAGTGAAATCCATTGATATTAAAGTTCAGTGGGCAGTGAGTTCGATGGGGCAGTGTCGGCACTGAGTGTATTCGTGTCCTTTTCTACTAGCATGTAATAGAAAGTGACGGAAATACATTTTTTTTTTGCACTAATTTTACTAATGGTTTTCGTTATAAGATATATGCAAGGATAATACAGGGTGTATCAGGTTTGACCACAAAAATTTTAACACGTGAAAATATGGCCCATTTTGAACAAAACTACAGATTTTCATTATGATACAGATTTTTAATATTATACAATGTCAATAGATGGCACCACCAGTTAAGATATTTTGAATTATTTTTTTATCGAATGTTGACAGCACTCTGTTTATAGCTTTTCCATTGTAATTTAGCGAAAAACAATAATTTTATGAAAAAAATACTCCGAATTGTTATTAAAAGTTACCTAAAGTATTATTATGGAAATATTGAGTGATAACGAAGAATTTTCACTAACACCTCCAGAAATTACAGAAAGGACGACAGTTGCAGGTAATATTAATATACTATCGGACAAGTCCAAGAAAATTTACGAAATAGCTATTTTTCTGCGATTGACAAAAAATGTCAGCATTTTTGACCGGTTGACAGGTCGCAAAACTCAATATTCTGGTATTTTAATTAAGTATGTTTCAATAGTTGCTAAGGAATCAATGAATAACAATACGGGAATCACTTTTCCGGCCTAGGCCGGGAAAGTGATTCTCGTACTGCTGAATAATGGGAACAAAAACACTAACATTTTAACAGATATTTTAGCGATCGCAGAAAAAATTGTATGTGTATTTTGATAAAAAAGCACATTCTCGGCCTTCGGCGTTTGCCGGCCCCGGCTACGCCTCGCCCGTCAACTTACACTGTCGGCCGAGAATGTGTCACTTTTCCACCTAAATACACAATATACTATTATCTTACAAGTGCGGAAAAATATTTTCCGCAAGTGTTAGGTACCTACAATATTTTTTCCTACAGGCGTAAAAATGTAGATTTTTTTTTTTGACAGCCGTGCGGTAAATTTTTACCGCACCGTGCACTCATTTTCCGCACGGATATCAGTGCGGAAAAATGATTTTTCCGCACGGCTGTAGGAAAAATTATATGAACAATTTATGGATTGGATAAAACACCAAAAACACATCGTCCTTCTCAGAATAGTACATTAAAATACAAGTTTCATAAGACGTCATTTTATCGCACGAGCCCTATATTAGAAAACGAGCCAGAGGCGAGTTTTCTAAAGGGAGAGTGCGATAAAATGTCTTATGAAACGAATATTTTATACTATTTTTTCTATTTTGGTATTGTTTAATTAAAAAAAAAAACTTTTCTTGGAAATTTTATTCTCATATTTCCTGATTTCATATGTTTAGATTGGTAACACTACTTGCCAAATATAGAAATCTTCTATTATAAAATCGCGAATGACAGTTCGATGGCCATCAGTCAGCCAGTGTTACCAACCTTCGATAAGTAAAAAAGGAGTGTCACAAAGAGCTTCTTTTCGAAACTACTTTTAGTGTCGAAAATACTTCGATATGACACCAAAATAGAAAAAAATATTTTGAAGAATTACAACAAAAAATGATACCTTCAACTGTATGGACGTATTACTCAATTATAAAATCTCTATTCAAAATTAAGCATAATGTTGACATATATATCATAAGTTTTTTTAATGGTAGTGAAAAAAATAGTGTATGCAACTCTCATGTAATGTATCATTACATGATCATTATGCATAATATACTATCATACAACATGGGGTCCAAACTCAACCATTTTTAAGAAAAAGGCCTTTGAAGTTTTGACATTTTTTTGACAAATATTTGAAAGAATAAGAAAATTTTAATCATTATGAGATGTAAAAATATTTAGTATATTCAATTATCAAGTAATTATGCATTTTAAGTCAACAACAATAACAAAAAATTGAAAAAAACAACGTAAAAATTTCACTTGTAAATTGGTATCTAAAGCGTGTTTTTTATTTGATAATTCCAGTCAAAAATTTAGTAACTACTTATGTTGGCAACACAAGCTTTTTCTACATAAAAATTTGAAAGCATTGACAATTTTACATTGTATTGCCAACATAATGTCATTTTGACTTTTATCTTTAAAAAAAAACAGACTTTAAACATCTGGCAACATAGCACAATAAAGAATAGCTGGTTGAACGTTAAACCTTGGTTGAACTGAATTAAAAAGTTGGGAAACGCGCGTAATTCAAATTCATTCTTTTTTGAAAATAAATTTTTTATAAACGTCGACGTCGAATATGCAGATACTTGTTTAGGCAGAATCGTTGCAAAATGTTCATTTAGCTGCCAGAATTTACAGAGAAAGATTTCCCAAAAGAAAAGGTCCCACCTGATGAAAGAACATTGTGCCCGTTTTATAAAGATTGCGTGATACCTGAAGTGTTAGTGTGCAAAATCTGCGTGTTGATTTTAGTGTTTTGAGAACCTTTTATTTTAATAATAAGGATTTGGCAAGTAGCTGAGTAAGTATTAGTTGATTTTTCTCTTGAATGTTTAGTGCAAAATCGTCAGTGAGTGCAATTCACAACTTGATAAAACGGCACATTTCTTATTTTTACTAGAAAAGTGATAAAAATGCAAGTTATTATTTACATTATTTGAAAGCCAATAAAAAACCAAAACGTAAACAGATGGAAATAAATAAACTCCGTGCAAAAAATAGCTATTTACCTAACAAGTGTATTTTTTATTTTTTTTTGACAGCCCTGTGGTAAAATGTTTTCCGCTCTGACAGCCGTGCGGAAAATGAATTTTTCCGCACTGATATGCGTGCGGTAAAAAAATTTCCGCACCGTGCGGGAAAACTCATTTTCCGCACGCATATCAGTGGGGAAAATTGATTTTTCCACACGACTGTAGGAAATAGCTATTTACCTAACAAGTGCGGAAAATGAATTTTTCCGCACGCGGCTGCCGTTCACCGAACGACGCGTAGCGGAGTTCGGTGATGCATTTTCCGCACGCATATTAGTGCGGAAAATTGATTTTTCCGCACGACTGTAGGAAAAAAACTTTTCAAATTTACCATTTTTATTTACAATTATATCCTGGCAGAGATAATACCTGTACAGGGTGATTCATTAAGAATGGCACTCGGCCATATCTCAAAAACTATTCATCGTAGTCTTGTCGGAAAAAAATTATCCCATAAATATGGCCAAGAGAAAATGCTGGAAATATATTTCAGCTTTCTAAAATGACCGTAAGGGGGCGTAACCCAACTGTCAAAGTACAAAAATGGTTTTATTTTTGAAATTTCAAATGAAAACGTATCTTGAAAATGCTAGCAATAGATTTTTGATGAAATTTCACACAATTTTGATTCATGACTTCGTACCAGAACTTATCGGATAAGATAGTTATGAGCTGTCAAAAATTGCAACTCAAGAAAGCGGATAACTTCAAAACGACTCAACGAATCTGGTCGATCTCAGGTTTGTTGGAAAGACAAGAGTCTGTTCTTTAATTTTGTTGTGAAAAATTCAAATTCTGGTTAGTAGGACTGGCGTTATGGGTCAATATTTGAAAACCATTGAATGTTTCCAATTTTTCTTGAAATTTTCAAATGGAACAGTATATTTAAGATATGTTCAATCGATTTTTTAGGATGTTTTACACGGTTTTTCTTTATCGTACCTTCCTACAAACGAATTCCAGATAGTGTTAAAATTAATTTTCTTAAAAATAATCAGTATTTATAAAAATGCCCTCGTAAATTGAACAGATACCATAGATAAGGTATACAAAACTCTCTCGAACCTATAAATTGAGCAGATACCATAGTTAAATATGTCAGGCTGACACATTTTTAAAACTTCAAGGGTTCGTTCGAAATCACCCTGGGCGTCACACCGAGTGCACACCAGCCATGTATATAATTTATAGCTGGTGTGCACCCGGTGTGACGCCCCAGGGTGATTTCGAACGCACTCCAAACGTTATTTTCTAAAGTCAAAATGCATTTCCCAAATCGAGAAGCACAGGACATCCTTGAGCTGCATGAATGTAATGGAAATGCAGCAATCGCAGCACGTATTTATTCAGGGCGTTATCCCCAAAGACCTCACCCTGACCCTAGATCCATCAGGAGGTTGAATAATCGTTTAAGGGTTACGGGTAGTATTCATACCCCCCTTTTTCATTCGAAGACGTAGAGCAACGTGCGCTATATACTATAATTTCCTAACGCACTTTTTTCATTATTTGACGTTCATCAATGATGACAATCAACTGTCAGAAAAACGAAGTCATTATTTACGAGGTTGATTATTTTTGATAAAATTAAATTCAACACTCTCTGGAATTCGTTTGTAGGAAGGTATAATAAAGAAAAACTGTGTAAAACATCCTAAAAAATCGATTGAACATATCTTAAATATACCGTTCCATTTGAAAATTTCAAGAAAAATTGGAAACATTCAATGGTTTTCAAATATTGACCCATAACGCCAGTCCTACTAACCAGAATTTGAATTTTTCACAACAAAATTAAAGAACAGACTCTTGTCTTTCCAACGAACCTAAGATCGACCCGATTCGTTGAGTCGTTTTGAAGTTATTCGTGTTATTAAGTTGCAATATTTGACAGCTCATAACTATCTTATCCGATAAGTTCTGGTAAAAAGTCATGAATCAAAATTGTGTGAAATTTCATCAAAAATCTATTGCTAGCATTTTCAAGATACGTTTCCATTTGAAATTTCAAAAATAAAACCATTTTTGTACTTTGACAGTTGGGTTACGCCCCCTTACGGTCATTTTAGAAAGCTGAAATATATTTCCAGCATTTTCTCTTGGCCATATTTATGGGATAATTTTTTTCCGACAAGACTACGATGAATAGTTTTTGAGATATGGCCGAGTGCCATTCTTAATGAATCACCCTGTACAATGTTGTCACGCTGTTAACATTTTTCTAAATTTAAATTCTGCGATAACTTCGAAAATACTAACAATTGACCCATGGTTAATAGGGCACTTTTAGCTTGAAATGGGCCATATTATCGCATGTTAAAATATTTGTACTCATACCTGATACACCCTGTATACACTACTACATGATTGCTTATCGGCCTCGTTTTTGTTAATTGCGGTAATAAGTCGGAGTCTCATGCATCCGTTTTCGGACGTCCGATGGTATGACGGAGCTCATGTTGGTTGAAAAATTTCCCGTCACTCTTCATCAGAATATTTTCAAAAAACGATAAGTGGATCACGTGACGTCCGTCAAAATTTGCTCTTCGCATAAGTGATTACCAAACCCAGCCATAGATTATTTGTGAAATAGAAAACCAATAATAGCGATCGACCATCAACATTATTCGACCGATTTATTTATTTTTATTTTAAAAACATTGAGGTTTAACCACAGTATCGTTGACATAATGACAGTAGAGGGTTTTTTTTTCGTTCCATCGGATCCGAATGCACGCAGTCATGAAACTTGCAAAAAATAATCGTATAAAAATATGTCAGAATAAAAGGTTTTTCGGATATCGGACGTCGGAAAACGGATGCATGTGTAGCACCATTGCCGACGTCATTGACTAATGGCCGTTTTCACCCAAGAATAATACACACTACTACTACAGGATAGCTTATCCTCATATCAAATCTCAAGCCCCCCACACAAAGAACTAGTGATGACGTAGGTAGTGTGTCGTTTCTTGCCTTGACGTAGGGTTTTTGGTTTCTGCACCATAGGTTATGATTCCGCGGGCTTTTGCTTTATGCATAATTGGTTTTATTGTATTATTTCAAAAATTAACATCCTAAAACAATGCCTTTTTGATTTCGTTTGCATCTTCCTCTTTGCCTATTATGTTGATCAAAATTAAATATTATTTTTCATCAATAAATGTAAATTCTAAACTACGACCACTGGAGCAAATAGCTGATAACGTAGTTGATGACGTCGTCAATGGTGCTACACAATATGGCTGCGATTTCCAAAAATGAGGCCTAAGCAGTCCTGTAGGAGTGTTATGAACTTTGAATTATCATAACTTTTTTTTCTATTGTAGATAGAAAGCTGAAATTCTCAGCGATTCTTATCTCAGTGGAGGACTACAATCCTTTCAGCTCATTTGGATTTACATACTCCCAGAAATAAAATCGCGTTAAGCAATTTGGGGTGAATTTATCAATTTTTCAATTTTTCTGAATGTCTTTTTTCATAGATTTAGGCTTCAAATCTGAGAACAATTTAGTGTATAAAGTTTGGGATATGTTGATTGACCATTAGGATACAAAATCTCGACAATTTTTTTTTTGAAATTTCATCGTTTTAGTAAGAAGGTACCTACCTACCTTATGATTTAGATTTTGGAATACTTTGAAAGGTCATAACTTTTTTTCTATTATAGATAGAAAGCTGATACTGTTAGTGAATTTTATCCCTTTCAAAGGATTACAATCCCTGAAAACTTCAGCTCATTTGCACTTATAGTTCCTGAGATAAAATCGTGTTAAGCAATTTGGGGTGATTTATCAATTTTTCTGAGTGCCTTTTTACATAGATTTCGGCTTTAAATTTGAGAATAATTTAGTGTATGGAGTTTAGGAGGTCCTAACTGATCATATAAACGCAAAATCTCAACATAAAAAAATTTGAAATTTCACACAATTTCAGTAGGTAGGTAGGTACATACCTATTAGGTATACTTATTAAGGTAGCTACCTTATGATTTTGATTTTTTAAAACTTTGAAGACCTATACCTGTTTTTCTATTATAGATAGAATGCTGAAATTTTCAGTGATTATTATCCCAGTTGCTGACTACAATCCCTGAAAATTTCAGCTCATTTGGATTTATTGTTTCTGAGAGAACGTTAATGAAAACCAGTCACAAAATTGAATCACGACTCCACTATCGACTTGCCTATAACTAACTAACTTATTCCTATTCACTGACCCTTTTCCTTCTATTATTGCCTCTAGAATTTAATTCCATAACTTGTTTTTTCAGGATACTTCCTGGATTATTTACTGTCATCCTTTTTTGCACCTACATTTTACCATCTCTAGGATCAGGACCCCAATGGCCCATAGTCATAGATCATCATTCGCATCTATGCAAAGCGAATATGTGGAGGAATTTCCTATTTATCCATAATTATTTTGGTTTTGAAAACATGGTAACAAAACATTTAAAATGTAGGTATATTAAAAAAAAAAAACATCTGTTTTAATTTTAGTGCTTGACTCACACTCACCAACTAGGAATTGATATGCAACTATTTTTAATTACACCTATTTATGTGTATTTTTTATGGAAAAGGAAAATTTTAGGTTTTTGTTTGATTATTATAACATCTCTAGTGTCGATGTGCTTGAGATTTTATAAAACATTTTATTATAATTTAAGCCATGTAGTTCATTTTGGAATACCGTAAGTTCAAAGTCACTTAGAAATTCTAATAATTCTTATCCAATTCTTTAGAATATCCAGAATGTTTGATACAGCTGATCACTCGTACATTTTACCAAGCCACAGAGCAACTATTTATCTTATAGGGGTTGTATTAGCTTGGCTATTGAGAAATTCAAAAAATAATTCTTCACTTTCAAAGGTAGCCACTGCAAATATTGCCTTGTAGGTATTTATTTTGGATTTTCTAGTCACAAATTTTACTAATCTGGTCCATTATCTATATCGTCGGTTTAACTACATGGTTTGCACCTGTTTCCATGTCCCTCATAGGATATGAATATAATAATCTTCAAGCTGCAATTTATGGTGCAATTTATCCTTTCACTTGGGGCATTGCTGTTGCTTGGGTCATTTATGCTGTCGAAAATGGATTTGGAAGTACATTAATAATTCGATTTATTTCAATTAGCCCTTTAAAATATATGCTGTTTTAGGTTGGTTTAGTTCAATTTTACGTTGGCAATATTTTCAAATATTTACGAAAATTGCTTATAGTATGTATTTGGTGCAATTTCCAGTATTTTTCTTTAATGTTGGTGTGAACAGGCATGTTGGAGAATTTAAAAATTATATGATGGTAATTATTGACACTTAAATAAACATGAACATTAAATAGATTTAAATTTCAGTTGCCTCCTGTTGAAACTGCTATTATATTTTTACTGGCAACAATTCTAACGCTTTTCATAGAGATGCCATTTCAGGATTTTCATAAAACACTTATTAGTAAATATAGTTGAATTTATTTGAAATTATATATTATTGTTTTATTCAAATCCTCTGGTCTCAATTTTGTGATCACTAATCACTGTAATCCTTCCTTGTTCCTCTTCGAAAATCGGCGATCTGTTTTTGAGATATTCTCTAAAAATATCAGTGTCGGTTTGTCCAATTATAAGATTTTTCAAATTATCTGTTAGAGCTGTAAAGTCATCACCACCTAGAAGAGAAAAAATGTAAGTTTGCTTTGAAAGTATATTTTTATGCAGACAGGACCAGGCTACTAGATACATGGGACCAGTTGACTGGTGGATTAATATTGATCGTCCCTGTGTATCTAGTAGGTTGGTCCAGTATGTAGCTAATTTATACCTCCTACTAAGAACGATGGAACTACTATGCTATAAACAGCTTCCAAATCTAAATCTTCATAGACAGGGATTTCACATCTTTGACAACGCACTTTAACATCTACCACACGTTCACCTATGGGCTTTGATATGTTGTAGACGACGTGGATCCCTACAAAGATGTTTGTATGACTGCAATGTAAAATTTCTAAAAACACAAAATTCTTACCAGAAACTTGTAACAAGCTCAACTCGGACATGAGTCTTTGATTATTGAAAGCTCTACCAGCTTGTTCAAGAAGCGCTTTGAGGTGAACACCCTGTAACTCTCCATAATCTACAGTGTTTGCAAATGGTTGAGCCAGAATAAGATCACTATAGGTAATATCTGCAAAAGGAAATGTTGTAACATACGAGCATTACTTAATGCTTACTCACTTCCAACTTGAATATCAGTACGAATACCGCCAGAGTTCATGAAAGCAATCGGTGCTCTAGTCCAGGAACCGTTATCTGCATGTTGAGTGTACTGAAAATACAAAAAAATTTGACTTATATATAAACATTGGGTTGCTAAAACTTACAGCAAAAACAAAAGCGTCAGTTATAAAATTACCCAAAGTGCATTCTTTGGAAAAGCAATCACTTTTTGATAATGTGACCAACGTGGAACCAAGAACCACTGACCCTTGAGCTTCAACAAGGGCGGTCCATGGTGCTAGGGCTGCGTCGATTTCGGCATCTAGATGAAAACAAGATTATTGAAAGCAGTTGACAGAGTGTTCAAGGATCAAAATGAAATGTCCCTATTAAAATGTTTTCAAAAAGTCATGAAACAAACGTTTGTTAAGGTCCGAGGTCCGCAAAAGTACGTTTTCTTGAAATGCTAGAGAGATCAACAGATCTTCAGGAAACAGGTTAATATTGTCACGGATTCCGGGTTCATTGAAACTACTTGAATAGAATTCTTACGCGAATTCGGCCAGGTTGCCGAGAAAATTTCGTAACAATATATAGTTTGAAAAGGTTTAAGCCTTACTTTTAGGTAGACTGTTATCCAAATAAATCGGTGCACCATTGGAAGCAACAACGTCACCTTCACTATTGTAGCTAACTTTAATGTTACCCAAATATTTGGTGTAGGCTGAGGCTTGAACAATATGCACATTTTTACCGGCTGTACTTTGGACTATTGTTGGATATGGTCCAGCAGGAGTGTCCGGGCCAGGTGGATTGTCTACAATATTTTCAAATAAATAATTTGAAGTTGTATAGATTACTATTCACCTCCGGTATACAAGAAAGTGTTTGAATGACCTCCAACGATAAGACCAATTTTTCCAGTAGCATTTGCAGCAATTTGCTGATCGATATCGTAACCTACATGAGATAAAACTATATTTGTGAATACACCTTCTTCTTTTACTAAACGTTCAGCTTCAGCATTGACACTGGCCGATTCTGGCAAGAACACCAAATTTCCTGAACTTGAAATCGTCTAAAAATAATCATCTATTTAGCATTTTTAAATTAAAATTTAAATGAAATTACATTAGTTTCGCTATAAAGGACACCGATGATACCAATTTTCTTGCCATTCCTTTCAATTACAACACTTTTCTTGTAAGTTCCTTGAATATCCGGTTCTCCAGCATCATCGATGTTAGAACAAATCACTGGGGTAGTCATACTTTTAAGAAAAGGAACAATTCCGTCAATACCATCATCAAATTCATGATTTCCAAGGACCTATAAAAAAGAAATCAACAGTTTTTGGAGTTTTATAATATAGTTATTTACATTACAAGTGCATTTATGAATATGATAACAGTAACAAGTGTTAAAAATTAGAACGACGAGGTCGTAGACCGAGTCGTTTCAATCACACGAGTTTTGTAGTCATGTTTTAACGCATGTGTGATGCACAACGTTTTATCTACAAAGCGAGAAATAAGAAAATGTTTTCACTTTGAACCATATATGTAAGTTCCACATTTCTTACTGGTTTGAAGATTCGAAAATGTCACTTTACTTTTGTTTACTTTAAAGCAGGCCGAAAGTGATGGTTCTCCTGTCACTTTCGGCCTGGAGAACTCACTTTCGGCCTGATAAAATTGTTCTGTCACACCTAAACACAAATCCAGGTGCAATGTTTGTATTTAGATGTAGATGTCACATGTGTTTATATTGTTGAAATTTCATAAGATGTCAATGTCGGTGTCAGAGTGTCAGTCGAAATTCCACTTTTGTCATATTTTCACTTTAGTTTTTGCAATAATTAATGGTTCAAGATAAAATAGTAGATATACATATTTCGGAGGCAAGTTTTCACATACCTATATTGTTTCGAGAATTGGTTGACCTCGGCGCTTCGCACCTCGGTCAACCATAGTATCTCTCAATAATAATGAAACACTTTCCACCTCCGTATGTAATATGGTATGTAATGACCCGGGAAAATAGACCCGTAATTTACAATGTCTTTACTGTAAAAATTAAATGTAATCAAATAATCAAAAACTGAATTTCCGGTATTTCAAATCAGTAGATATTATTATATTGAAAATGAAACAAAATAACGTTGACCCCAAATTAATTAAAACATCTAAAATATGTTCAAAATGTTATTATTTAGTCACCAAGTGTATCATCACCAAAATCAAATTCATAAAAAATATTAAAATCGAGGCCAAAGTAATTAAATAGGTGATTTATGGCCGCACGTGTTTTTCGGCTTTTTTTGTGTTACTCAGATTCTTGAACCAAATCTGTTGACCCCGATAAACCAGGAAATTGCGACATAATTATTGGATTTTAAACAAATAAAAAAAAGGAAGGTTAATTAATGATGGACAAAGGAATTTTGGGGGAATCGAATAATATAAATACAGCGGTTTTAGAAGAATCAGTTCAGTTTAAGTTCAGTCCAGTTAAATCTACAGTACCTAATGAGTCAGTCCGGATAAAATTCGCGAGAGTTTCTTTTATTTTGTTGCCTCGGGAAAACGCGTTTTTCCGAGGGCTAGAGAGCGAGCTCTAGAGATTTTTGCAAGCTCTAGAGATTTTTGAAGTAAATTAATTAAGTAATTTTACGAGTGAAAAATTAAATGTAAGTACTCTAGTGACTAGTAAAACTTTTTGACTTTATAAATGATGAACTTTACTGTATAACAGTCCCTATCTCACAGTCTATTAAGCGCACGTGTGATGTACAACGTTTTATCTACAAAGCGAAAAATAAGAATGTTTTTTCAATTATTTTCGGTTATTAGTCATTGTCTACCTTTATTTTACCTATAGAGGTTTAACTTTGACATTTGTCAAATCCCCAAAAATAGTTGTGTTATAGATTCATAACCTAGCCTTTAACACCACAAGCTGTGTTATGAATTCATAACCTAGTTCCTAACACCACTAGTTGCGTTATGAGTCTCATAACATAACTCAAATACTAGAAAAATGAGTAAGTATGTAAAAACGTCATAACCAAACGCTTGTAGATAAAATAAATTATACTCACCGTAGCAGCGAGAGGTAATTTATTCATAAACTCCTGAGTGATATTCCATTTTCCTACTGTATAGTACAACGTTCCCTGAAAGTTATCGCCTGCACTGAGCAACACAGAGTCGGGTTGTTCTGCCAGCAAAGTTTGTATTTGCTGGTACAGCCTAGAAAAGCCTCCTATACAGGACGTTGGGTTTGTGCAGGTTCCTGCGGATTTACTAATTTCTTGAAATCTAAGAAAAAATTAAATTGATGTAGCAACAATATTTTAAAAATCTAATATATTGAAAGAGACCCCATTTCAATTGAATTTTGTTTATCAAGTTGAAACGTATTGATATGTCAAAGGATGTTTAGAATGAGAAATTGTGATCTCTGTCTTGAGAGCCACGTATATTTATAAAACATTTTTGAAAGTTCAAGAGCTACTCGAATATCGAGAACATGTAAATCAACTCAATAGGTAGCTAAACTTTTCGTATTCAACTCTTAACTTTTATAGAACTAGAATCATATGAATTTCAATTTTGATTAACTTTAATCAACAAAAGTTGAAAGAAATTCTTACCTTGCATGGAAATCATTGAAATGAATCACGGACAATTCGAGAACGGCGTCGTCGCTTATAGGATTGCCGCTGACGAGACTTGAAAAAATTGTCAAAACAATTATTGACCACCACATCTTTATCCAGCTTCTAATAAAAGACTAAATTAATTCATTAGCCAAATCTCCATTTATTGAATCTGATATATCATTCCCCTTTTTTTTTTATCTGAATTTTTATCTTTATACTTAGCATTACATAACATGCTTTAATTGTTAGGTAAAGTCTGTTTTTTTTTTAAAGATAAAAGTCAAACTGACATTATGTTGGCAATACAATGTAAAATTTTCAATGTTTCAAATTAGGCATTCCAACGACCTGTCAAAAAGTGCGTTGTGGCGGAATTTCATTATCCCGTATATGAGAGTATGTAATTTAAAGCTTTTTAAAGTGTATTTTGTGGTTGTTTTGTGAATGAATTCTGTTTATTTTTTTATTTTATTGACTTCATTAGTGTTTCTTCGAATTAAAAATGCCACAAACGGGTCTTGTAGTTGATTGTGGAAGTAGTTTCAACAAGGTAACAAGGATGATGTCAGACTTTTTTCATTTCCCTTTGTTTTAAAATTTTCCAATTAAAACGTGAAAATTTTTCACTACCACTGTTCCTGCATCTGAAATTAAGCCATTTTCGAAATATTCGTAAGAATCGAAGCTTTTGTAGGCCTTCATTTGCTCATTAATGTGAACTGTGGATCAAAATGTCATCTGGACATTTTTTTAAACTAACCGTTCGCCCAGATCCCGATTTTCCTGCATTCAAGTCTTTAAATATTCACTTTGCATCTCAAAAAGTACCTAAATTATAAGAAAGTAAACTGTAATTAGCTTGAAAATATTCCAAATAAACTCGAGATAAACAAACAAACGTCAAATTTTCCACGGTCGCCATATTGAAAAATCACGTGGTTTGGAGAGCCTAGTTGCCAACATAGTTACTAAATTTTTGACTTGAGGAATTATCTTTAAATAAAAAACAAACTTTAGGTATAAATTAAAATTTTAAGAGTGACAATAATATTACGTCAACGAGGTTCGCAGTGACTCTTTCAAACTTAAGTGGGTACATTTATACAAATTACGCTTAACTGTACACAAAACTACCTAAATCGCTGATCAACCTACAGTCCGATTCATGACCAAGTCGTTTACGATTCAACGTATTTGTCCGACACGTATTTTTGACGGTCGGAAAAAATACGGTTGGGACAAATATTGTCTAGAGAATTCTCTTCTAAGAACCACAAAAACGTCACAGGTATCCCATCTTCCGCTCATGGTACATACTTTGTCTTATGTGGATTCCCAATTTCTGGTTATAGAGAAAATTAATCAAATGTCAACAGGTGAAAGCGAAAATTTGACAAACATCTGCAGACATGTACAAAAACACGAAGAAGTAGCTAATTAGATGAAGCTCTAGAGCAGTTTCTCATCTGAAAAGTTTAGTTTTGACATAAGCTTCAGATAAATTAATAAAACTATTTATTTTTTAATTATTCTGTATGCTGATCAATAATATTCGTAATGCTGAAAAGTGTTTCGAGGCATTTTGGTATGGTAAGTGTGAGCGCGTGGATTTTATCACATCACTACCACTTCATCCCACTCGATTTCAGAAGTTGTTTTGGTACGAGATTCTGTAATCTGATATCGAAATGGTGTCATGATACCAAAACACGTGTAAATGTTTGAAATATAAATATACTTAATACATCTACTTAAGAAAATTTCATTTTTCCGCTGTGTTTACAAGATTACAGGGTGACATTAATTATTATAAATGTTATTACTTAATCATTATATAAACAAAATATTTCTCAAAAACTAAAAACATAAACTTGAAGAAATTGTACATATCATGACACTTTCTAAAACTACATATAATGTTGAATAATGAGAAATATTTGTATTAATGATCTTTATTTGAAGCATAATGGATACAAAATACAACAAACTCAAACATCCTTGAGCAGTCCTTAACAATGAATCCTCAAAATTATTAGGCACTAGCTGACGTTCCACACATAACCGCACTTTCGACGGGGGGACAAAAAAAGCGTTTAAGGACTATTTACACAAATACGCAAATAAATGTAAATATCGCTTGTTTGTCCCAATAACTGTCCCCTTATTCTCGTAGTATATGCCGGTTATGTTTTATGCGGTTTTCACAGGGTTTTCACAAGTTTTTGTGTTATTTTGTTCTAAAAAAGTTAGAGTGGAGTGTTTGTGTTCCAGTCTATGTGATCTTTTATCTAAAAGTTTGGTACGTTTTGCTATAATGGATTAAATTCAGGTTTTTTCCAACAAATATCAAAACTAAGTGTCATAAGAACAAATATATAAGTATAGTTACTCTATATTCAATCTATTTTTCTGTCAGATCACTGAAAAAACGTTGTGTCACTTAAGGACGCTGGAATAACTAACTAGACTTTGAATGAATGAAGAACAACATGTATTATCGCCAGGAAATGTGGTTTTTTTGTTATTGCGATAATAGGATTTCGAATAAATTAAGCAAGTTCGCAAAACTTGTTATCAGCAGCAGAAATTATTATTTTAATTTAAAAATAATATTTGGGGCTTGCGAAAAATAGGGCCCAAATTGAGGCCCCGCATTTCTATGGTTTGGATCTCGGCGGCGGCGGTGGCGAATGATGATGTCGCATTGGAATAATTGGTAGGTAACAAGAAATAAATTATTGTCTGATCGTAGTCAGATTTTAGTTTAGAGAAATGGGGGCTCTGGAAAATTGCGGGGCCCAGTACGATGTATCTTGTTACAAGTCACGAGTTATGGGGTACCAAATTTCAGGTTACGACTTCTAGGTACGTGGTACAAATTTCAGGTTACCAGCATGAGATACGGGGTACCAAATTTCAGGTTTCGAGTTCTAGGTACGTGGTACAAATTTCAGGTTACCAGCATGAGGCTCCTTTGCTGACATCACTTGAGTTAGGCCTCTTCAAATTGGGGCTTGCTACTTGGGTTAGGCCTCATCAAATAGGGGCTTGCCAAAAAATGGGGCCCACGAAAAAAATGGGGCCCCGAAATGGGGCACAGGCCCACCTGGGTTAGGCCCCTTCAATTTGGGGCTTTTCTGATGACGGGCGCGGGCCCCAGAACGAGAATGGGGCCACTTCCAGTCTGGAACTCTTGTAGTTCATCTACTAACTGGATTGGAATGTTCTCTATGCTTAAGTTATTTTCCTAATTTTTGTTACGTAAACTTCCCCTAAATTTCTGTTCTCTGCTTTACTTCAGTAGGTACTAAAATTCCACAAGAATATGAACTTTTCACTTCTTTCTGGTCCTCTGATTTTCCAAGTTACAATAAAGTTGTTCTAAATTGTCATTGTCATCAGTGGACAGTGGGCTCGTAGCAGTGGCGTAGTTAGCTTTTCGCCATGGGGGGGGGGGGGGGGGATATGAATAAATAATAAATACTAAATAGGTACCTATATGAATCCTTGGATGACGAGCCTTTAATACGATTTTTTCATAATTTTAGTGGACTCATGGGGGAATTGGTCCCCCTGACCCTACGCCACTGGCTCATCAAAAACTGAACATTTTCATTATAAATAAATATTTTTTAAGTGTAACTTCTCTAGGCACGGTAGGGTAAGTTCGTTTCATGCCAGTCGCCATATAGCGGAAACATACTTATTTCATGATCACTATTTATTTATAATTTTCACAGATATGCCATTTCTGGATTTCCACACTTATTTGATAATGTAAATAGTTAAATCAAAAATAAATATATTGTGAATTAAATCATTTTAATGAAATCCTCTGGTCTCCATTTCCCTATCACTAATCACTGTAATCCTGCCTTCTTCCTCTTCAAAAATCGGCGATTTGTGCTTGAGATACTCTCTAAAAATATCAGTGTCTGTTTGCCCAATTACTACGTTTTGTAAATTTTTTGATAGAGCTTTAAAGTCATCACCACCTGGAAAAAAATAGGCCAATTTGCTTTGGAAGTCTATTTTTATCCTTAAAATTACCTCCCACTAAGAATGAAGGAATTGCCATACTATAAACAGCATCCAAATCTAAATCCTCATAGACAGGGATTTCACATCTTTGACAACGCACTTTAACATCTACTACACGGTCACCTATAGGTCTTGATATGTTGTAGACAACGTGGATGCCTATACAAATTGTCTATATGAAATTCTAATACAATCATCAAAAAAATTATAAAATTACCAGAAACTTGTAACAATTTCAGCTCGGATGAGAGCCTTTGATAATTGTAACCTCCAGCAGCTTGTTCAAGAACTGCTTTGAGGTAAACACCCTTCAACTCTCCATAATCTACAGTGTTGGCAAATGGTTGAGCTACAATCATATCACTATAGGTGATATCTGCAAAGAAAATTTTGAAAAATATATGAGTTTAGGCATAAAACACTTACTGCCAATTTCAATATCAGTACGTAAACCGCCTGCGTTTACGATAGCGATTGGTGCTCTAGTCCAGGAACCGTTGGGTGCTTGTTGAGTGTACTAAAAGTACATATTATAAAGTTCAAATAATTAATTGGGTTTATAGAACTTACAGCGAAAACAAAAGCATCAGTTACGAAATTACCCAAGGTACATTCTTTGTAAAAGCAACCATCGATCGATAGTTTGACCAATGTGGAACCAAGAACCACTGAACCTTCGGCTGCAACGAGGGCATTCCATGGTTCTAGGGCTTTGTTGATTTCAACATCTGAAATTGGAAGTATTGGATATTTTTTAAAAACCTATAGATTTGATGTAGGTTATTATAGGACTTGACAAGAAAACTCAATCTTCACTTGGTGACGTTTTGTACTTTAATTGGTACTTTTTCAAACCTCGTAAAGAACTAGTTCCAAGTACCAAACATCTCCAGGTGAAAATCTAATTTTCTTGCCAAGACCTATATCAATATTTCCAAAAATATTTAAACAGCTTTCTTGATCAAGTATATTTCTAAAAGTTTAAATTACCTTTAGGTAGACTGTTTTCCAAGTAAATTGGCGAACCATCATAACCAGAAACTTCTCCTTTACTATCGTAACTAACTTTGATATTCCCCAGATATTTGGTATAAGCCGAGGCTTGAACAACAAGCACATTTTTACCATGTTTGCTTTGGACTATTGTCGGATACGGTCCAGCAGGAGTGTCTGGACCTGGTGGATTGTCTGGAATATTTTCACTTCAAGTAATTTGATCCAAATTAGATGACTCATTACCTCCGGTATACAGGAAAGTGTGCGAATGGGCTCCTACGATAAGACCAATTTTTTCACTAGCGTTTGCAGCAATTTGCTGATCGATATCGTAACCCACATGAGATAAAACGATATTTGTAAATACACCTTCTTCTTTGACTAAACGTTCAGCTTCAGCATTGACACTGGCTGATTCTGGATAGAATACCAAACTTCCTGTTTTCGCAATAGTCTAAAACCAATTAAATCATTAGTAGGTATTTTTAAATTAAAATTAACATCAAATTACATTTGTTAAACTATAAATAACACCTATAATACCAATTTTTTTGCCATTTCTTTCAATTACAACACTTTTGGTGTAGGTTCCTTGAATATCTGGTTCTTCAGCATCATTGATGTTAGAACAAACCACTGGAGTGGTTAAACTTTTGATAAACGGTACCACCCCGGCAACGCCATCATCAAATTCATGATTTCCTAGAACCTAATGAAGGAACTTCAACAGTTTTTGAAATTTTATAAATAAGCTAAATTCTTCTCACTGTAGCATCAAAAGGTAATTTATTCATAAACTCCTGAGTAATATTCCATTTTCCTAAAGTATAGTATAAGGTTCCTTGGAAGTTATCGCCTCCATTGAGAAGTACCGAGTCAGGTCGTTGAGCCAGTAAAGTTTGTATTTGTTGGTACAGCCTAGAAAAGCCTCCTATGCAGGCTGTGGGGTTCATGCAGGTTCCTGCGGCGCTACTGATTTCTTCAAATCTAAGTTTTTATTGATATAAATCTGATTCATACCAGATTTGTTCCAACACGTCAAAAACCGTCCCATGAACGGTTTCGAAACCACTCTGTATACGAATTTCGAGTTCTACGCACAAATTTTTGGCTTTGCGCAGAATCGTGACGGCCCATTGTGCGGTTTCTTGGTGTGTTGGAACAAAGCTACCGAATTCTATTATGTTTTGTTTTTTTTTTTTTTTCATATGTTTACAAAGGAATCTATAAACACGGATTTTCTAGAAATTGCAGACTTGCGTGAGAAAAGTAGTTGTGGTTACATTTCATTCAAAAATTCACGTAATACGAATGTATTATTTATGTTGTTTTATTTATTTTATATATAATTTCTAAATAATTGTCTTTGTATTAAGAATCAAGTGCTACTCGAGAACAAAAACGAACTCAAGTAAGTTGGTACATCTTTCCTAATCAACAGATTATTATCATCTATTGAGCAAATATGAGATAAATTCTTACCTTGCATGGAAATCATTCACATGAATCACAGATAATTCGAACAGAGCATCTTCCCTTGTACTTGTAGGATTACCCCTGATGATAGAACTTGAAAAAATCGCTAGCAAAACTATCGCAAACCACATCTTTGTTGAACTTCTAAATGGACACTAAATTCATTTATCAAATAAATCGCAATATTATATCGTTGAACCTATTTTTTGTAAGATTAGTTTTTATCTTTAAAATTAGCATTATTAATTTGTTACGTCATATCTTGAATTAATTAAAATATAAAGAATTATAATAAATTAGTTCTAAGCAAGCATGTTATACCTGCTGATTGGTAATAAATGGCTTATAATTACTATTAAAAGTTCATTGATTTCTAATCATTTACCGTTAAAACATAACAACAGCCATGGCTAATACATGATTCTTGCCTTCCTATGTTTTATCGGAATTCCTTGACACTAATGATAAGATTGTTAACAAGCTTATGAACTAAATTATCTAATTTTTATATGGTTGTGTATTTTTGTTTTGGAAAATTCTGGTTTCAGTCGTTCGTTAGTTTGATGAAAAGATGCTGGGTAATAAATCCTGAAAGTTTGAAAAGGATCTGATTCTCAGAAGTATTTTTCAGGATTTTTCAAAGGTGATTTAACATAAGTTGTTTAGTATCAAGTTGCGAAAAACGTTATAATTTAGTTTCTGAGCCTCATATTGACTCTAAATTCAGCTTGTTTGATGAAAAGACCCTAGTTATTAAATCCTGAAAGTTTCAAATGGATCTGATTCTTTGAAGTATTTTTCAGGGTTTTTGAAAGGTGATTTACCATGAGTTGTATGGTATCAAGTTGGGAAAAACCACATAATTTTATTTCTTAGCCTCAAATTGACTTCAAATTTGCCTTGTTTGGTGAATAGATCCTGAATAATAAATATTGAAAGTTTGAAATGGATCCGATTCCTCGAAGTACTTTTCAGGATTTTTTGAAGGTGATTTACCGTGAATTTTACAAGTTTTTCTGGTATCAAGAAGGAAAAAACCACAATTTTATTCCTGAGCTTCAAATTGAATCCAAATTTGCTTTGTTTGATGAAAAGATCCTAGTTAATAAATCCTGAAAGTTTGAAATGGATCTGCCCCCGGATTCTATTTTACGAGTCGAGTCGAATTGTCTCGTCAGTGGCGGCTCGTCAGAGGAGGCAGGGGAGGCTAAGCTTCTCCCAAAAAATTGAAAATTTAATCTCAGTTCTTTATTCCTGATAATTCATAAATTACACTTTCCAAATTTCGATATTTCAATGTGATTTAGTAAATTCTAACAACATTATTTCTATCAATCCGGCGCCTCCACGACAAAAATCTGTGAATCTGGGATACTCAATAATACGAGCCGGAGTTATACGCGAGCCCGAAGGGCCGGAGTTATACGCGAGCCCGAAGGGCCGGAGTTATACGCGAGCCCGAAGGGCCGGAGTTATACGCGAGCCCGAAGGGCCGGAGTTATACGCGAGCCCGAAGGGCCGGAGTTATACGGGAGCCCGAAGGGCCGGAGTTATACGCGAGCCCGAAGGGCCGGAGTTATACGCGAGCCCGAAGGGCCGGAGTTATACGCGAGCCCGAAGGGCCGGAGTTATACGCGAGCCCGAAGGGCCGGAGTTATACGCGAGCCCGAAGGGCCGGAGTTATACGCGAGCCCGAAGGGCCGGAGTTATACGCGAGCCCGAAGGGCCGGAGTTATACGCGAGCCCGAAGGGCCGGAGTTATACGCGAGCCCGAAGGGCCGGAGTTATACGCGAGCCCGAAGGGCCGGAGTTATACGCGAGCCCGAAGGGCCAAAGTTATACGCGAGCCCGAAGGGCTAAAGTTATTTTAATCACGGGCCCAGTCTATAATTCTATTGGTCAGTGGATAATTTGGAGCCAATCAAAAATCGGGAATATTCAAAATGTGATTTTTAGTCGATATAACGAGTTTCAGTTCTCTCCCATGTATTGGAAAAGAGTTAGCCTTCCCATCTTTCTTGATTTTGAATTTTTTTTTCCGAATTTCCAAAAAAAAAATACCATCAGATAGAGGAGCAAAAATTACGACGAGGAGTTAATTTGACCCTCCTCGCTACGGCACATCTTAAGGCCGAAAAAAAAATAAACAAGGAAATTTCGATTTTGATCAGAAATAAATTGTGGGTACCCGACACGAGGCCACTTTTTCTCTTATAGCTCCGCTATTTCTCAACCGATCGTTTCGAGTTTTGAAAGAGAATGAAATTACCTACAAAATATTTTTTTATTGAGATTCTAGGCCGTTTTCGTCTTTGAGATATCAGCAGTCAAAGTTGAAATTCTTTGTAATTTTGTTAAAATGTTTGAGGTCGATTTTCTCGGAAACGGTGCTTCGTGGAGGGATACTTCTCATATGCTTTTTTGTAGTATTTGACGAGATCTACAAGTTTTGCATTTAAAGTTTTTCTCCCGGGCTTTTTGTTTTCGTGTTAGGACGCTTTGAAAATTTAAAAAAAAAAATTGGAAGGTTTATATCCTCAGATTTTTTTTTTCGAAAAAATTCAAATTTTAAATTTTGAAAAAAAAAAAATAGCATCGGAAAGAGAAGCAAAAAATCCGTCGAAAAGTTAATTTGACTCTCCTCGCTACGGCACATCTTAAGGCCGGAAAAAAATGAAAAAGGAAATTTCGATTTTGACCAGAAAAAAATTGTGGGTACCCGACATGAGGCCACTTTGTCAGAATCCCTGTCCTGCAATTATTCTGACATTAGAGGTCGACCGGAGGCTAGACTCTCACATGCTTCACTGAAGAGTTTCATGTTACTTTTCTAGTCGGAAGTTGTAGAATTATACTTGATTCATATTTTTTTGCATCAGGTGCATTGTAAATTATTGTGCAATTGTGCATCTTGTTGCAAAAAGTACATAATTATTATCGTAATTATAATAATCAAAATTTGTGCCTTCTTTGTATTTTTTATTTTTTATTTTTCGTCAAAATTAACTCTGAAAATATATACTTACATGAAGAAAAGGAACATTTTCTCGAGTATTCATGGTTTTTATTGAATTTGAGATAAATTATTGAGGGCATGGGCACCCCAAAACAAATTTTGTCTGCTGCGCAGTGGTAACCTTGCCGTAATTAATTATTTTTTTGCCTCCTCACTTGAAATAGTCAAAATCAAAATCAAAATAGTTTATTGGTGTTATAAATACAATTGTACCTTATACAAGTCATATAAATTAATCTTACATTTATCATAAAAATTACAAAAATTATGCTGAGCACTATACATATTATTTAAAAGAAAAACAGACCAATAAATGCTAAAATTACAGTGACTAATACAAAGTTAAAATAAAGACAAAAAAGTCAATTATATAAATTAAAATAAAATAAAAACAATTATTACAGGTAAAACTCCATTAAAAAAGACAAAACCTATACATATTACAACAAACCTATTACACATTAAAATTAAAATTCATGACTTAAAAACTCTGTATAACTATAAAATCCTTGACTACACAGGAAGCCTTTAATTTTTTGCTTGAACTATTTCTCTGGTAGGCTCTTGAAAGTGTTCTGTTAACTCCTTTTAGTTAGTTTAGTTTGTCTGGTGAATACCTGCTAAGATTGACAAGCGTCCCAAATTAGCTGGTATTCTACCAGATCGTGAGAGTTTGGCAATGACAATTTTAGTAAAATTTGATTTAATTGTAGTTGTTAACACAGAACATATCCCCTATAGAAAAATATCTCAAATGGGAGAATCGCGACGAAGGTTTTTAGTTAGGTTTTTAGTCAACGATGGCGACACTGTCGGGAGATAAGAGAAACTTGCAGGTATCTGTAGTGTGAACAGTGATTTGTGTTGGTTGGTTTTGACATTTATTTTGTCATTTTAAAAATCAAAATTTGAATTTTTAAATTGTGTTGTTGTACCCCACGGTCCCCACGCGCGTTAAAGTGAAAATTCAAAAAGTTTTGGTTGAAAAAAACCCTAATTTTTGTTCGTATTTTTTTGTATTTATTCGTTTGTTTCGTTTCGTTCGTATTTGTATTTATTATTCGTATTTACTTTGCGATCTACCTATAGCTGCATGTCGCTTGCTAACTTATTAACTCTTTTTGCACTATGTTCGACATTGGACACTTCCTGCCAGTCATAGTTTCCAAGAAAAGAGCTAAAAGGAGTCAGCAAGTCAAATGCAGTTGAACATTAAAATTTATTTAAAAATAATAAAAATATATGAAGAAAATCAATTCGCCTTTTTGTCAAGAATGCTCCATTAGTTGGGTTTCCATTCAACGAGGGCGCTGGAATTCATAACCGGGTACGTAACATTGCAGATACTTTTCTAGGGGTGATATGTTCTGTGGTTGTTAATAACTTGCCTTGTTAAGTTATTTCTCTAATAAAAGTTTAGTTAAATATCGAGATAATAATTATACATGGTGGCAGCGGTGGGATCCGTCGTTTTCTCGTAAAAAAAAGTGTATTTGAACGTTTGCGAGTGTCGTCTGTAAATTTTGCATCCGTTTCATCAGCAAATACGGTAGTGCATTGTTCGAAAAATAATTCTAATCAGCAAGCAAGATGGCTACAACAGCAAATACGAACACTACAACAGCTACAACCATCTCAATGGCTCAGTCCATATCAGTACCGGTGTCTCCACCAAGTAAATTTGATTTTACCAATTCAGCAGCCTGGCCGCAATGGCGTAAACGTTTCGAACGTTTCCTTTCTGTCTCTGGACAGAATATTAAATCAAATGATGAGAAAATCAACATTCTAATGTATGTTTTAGGAGAAGAATCGGAAGACGTATTTTTGCAATTCCAAAATACTCCAACGACTTTTGCACAAACACTGACGGAATTTGAAAATCATTTTATTCCGCGACGCAATACTATTTTTGAACGGTATAAGTTCAATACCCGGATTCAGTTACCGAGTGAAACTATCGAAAGTTTCATAACTACCTTACATTCTTTAGCCGAACATTGTCAGTTTGGTGCGTTAAAAGAGGAATTGATTAGAGACAGAATTGTTGTGGGAATGCTTGATAGAAAAACAAGCGAAAGATTACAGTTGAAGTCAGCACTAACTCTATCTGAGAGCACTATGGAAGCTAAGCAAGCTGAGCTGCAAGCCAGCCAAAGCAAAGAAATTCAACATTCGTTCGCTAGCCGTATGATGGGCGCAGGAGCAGCGTCCGCAGTTGCTGAGTTGAAATCGCGACAGTCGCCGTCAGAGCGGTCGCAAAACGGTGCTGCTAATTACCTTCTATTGGAGGAAAATATGGAAACAGTACCGGAAAAAAATGCCAATATTGTGGATTAGGGTTTCATTTGAGAGAAAACTGTCCAGCAAATCGATCCACTTGCAGATCCTGCAAGAAACAAGGGCATTGGGCTACAGCTTGCCGTAAACCT